GTAGTATCAGGTATGAAATTTGATTAGCACGGAAAAATACGAATGTTCGTATCGTGATCCATGCATTTTTCGTGTTAAATTAATGAATATAATTTTCGTAATAAAGTTGAAAGCATTAAAAGTGAGCTGCTGAAAGCGTGTATTGGATTTCCGCTTGATTTGCTTTACCGTCCGACACGGTAGAACATTTCAAATTAAATAAAATCGTCTCGTTTACAGTCAATATCCTTGGTATAATTTAATATTGGACATTCTGGTGTTGGATGTCGACTCACCTGCTTTTCTCTGCTCTTTGTACCTTTTGTGCTCCTTTTCCCGTTTTTTTTCTAATTTTATTTTCCTTCCACTGCTTTTTATAATCCCCTTTTTCGTTTCGTTTTATTTGTTTTACGAGCCGTGGCGGAGCGCTCAATCAACCGGAGACGCTTGCGTTTCACGTGCACACAACTTCTTATAAATAAATAAAACGTAGCTTCAAACCATTTCCGTTTTATATATATATAATTATGTGTATATATACTAGTTGAGCATAGATACAAAAAGAAATAAAATACGTCTAGTAGGATCAAAGCTAATATTTGTGGTATAGTCTAATTCGCTACTACCACAATTATTTTTAAAATAAATTGTGGAATAGTTTCACTGCTTATTCTATAATCAGTATTGTTTTATATTTTATTAGAATCTGAGGAATATGGAGATCTCTTTTCTTTTTCAAGTTCCGAAAAAAAGATACCTATACTTTTTTAAAATAAGTTATTGAAAACTCACCAACTATGACCAATAAGCTTACAGTAAATAATTTGAAAAATATAATGAAAAGTAAGAAAATCAAAACAAATATTTTCTAATGCAGATCTCAAAGAAATAATATCACAATAACATATGTTCAATAACACAAATTAAATATTCAATATGATATTAAATAATTTTATTTATCAATATTTTAATTCTAATATTTAGAAGCATTGAAAACCTCGGAAAGAAATTAAGTTATAGAATATAATAATTATAAGAAAAGATGTAGCAAAATGTACTTAAAAAATAATATCAAATAATAAAGTATCAAAACAGTAGTTTAATCATCATTTTAAGAACATATTACTGTTAATTTTATATATTATCAAAAATAAAACAGTTTAAAATAAAATTAATATGTATTTCATTATTTCTATTTATATAAATATACCATATACAGTGGAACAATGTTCCACACTTAATCTAATGAAAAATACGAGAATGAGTTCCAGGTCGAAAAAAAAAGTATAACTTGGTCTGGCTTTTTAATGATTTTGATTTTCATATTAAAAAAAAAACAAAGCAATTTCTGATCTATACTGATCCAATATAATTAACTTATTAGTCATTAAATGCTGTCAGTTAAAATCGCCTATGGAAAATTATATGGTTGATTATCATTAACAAGAAAAACATGAGTAACTTCCTTTCGACATCTATCTATCATTTATTAATCTGCTTGATAATTTAAAAATTACAACACAAAAAAATGTTATAAATGCTAGACAAAAATATTCATATATGTAATAAATAAAAACACACTACTTTGTGCAAATTGAAACATTTGAGGAAAATCTTGAATGAAGACTTTTATATTCTTAGACTTTATATATTTTTTTTTTAGTTTTATTTCTAAGAAAATAGATAAAATTATAGGATATTTAGAGTGTACATCAAGAATTTTAAGTAGAAGAGCACAACTTATAAATCAAATAAATGTGATTTCATCAAATAATTGTATATCAGCTTTCAAACAACATTTATAATCAAACCAATTCCATCAGTCCTTTTTCAATCCAATCAATTCCAATGGCGTTGGCACTATTGTAATGTTTTCTATCAGTACAGCCTGCTCAAACGATTCTGAACGTCAACAGAAGTTGCGCGTTTTGGATTAACACAAGTAGCAGTGAATTCATATGTACAATGAGAAATTAAATATTTTTAAAATGTTACCATGTCTAATTTAATGTATTATACAAAGTTATTTGTTATATGAAAGAATTTATGAAAATTTCGAATTTTATTTTTTGTACGATTTTTTTTATGCGGTCCCTATCTACCGCACAAATATTTCAACTTTCAAACAACCTTTATAAATGTATATAATTTACTCATTAAATATAAAATATGATTAGCCAAAACAAGTTTTATAAAAACATTTTATAAAATTTACAAATAAATTGTTTATATTGATATTATTCATATCCAAATTACTTATCTAAATTATCACAACTGCTAACATATTCTATTTTTAACTGATAACATATACAATTTGGTTTAATCTAATTTATTCATAAATTCTTTTTTATTTAAATCAACAAATTAAATAAACTTTAAATTGTTCCATGCTCAATATTATCATATTTAAAACAATATTTTTATATTAATTAAAATTGAAATAATTAATTATATTCATTTACAAAAAATAATATTAATGTATAAACTATTATAGGAGAATACATGCAATAAATGATGTTTATTAGTTATTTTTTTACAAAATCTTTACTAATTAGGCGTAAAATATGTTTTTAAAGAAATCTTCAATTATAAAGGAAATAAAGTCTTTAAACTTATTTGGTTCAGTCGCAAGCTGTTCATTATAATTGATTATAAACAAAATATGCAAATATAAATTACGTTGAAGTACTGTACTTTGATTACGGTTAATAATATTTATTTATGCGGCGATATGGAAATTAAAAATAATAAATGCCAATTTGATTACATATCGAAACAGCACGGAAAAAAATTATTTCAGAACGCAATTATTACAATTAGCTTCCTTTTTCGCTCTTTATCTGTGATTAAATTGGCTCGCATTGCATTCGGTGTGTTTGCGTATGGAAACGAAAATTGTTGCGCTGTGAATATTTATGAAAAAAATGTTTCACCGTGCACGAATTGTATGGGTATGAGTGTATTTATGCAAAGGATCAGGAGTCGAATGAGGAGGAGGTTGTGTCATTAGGGCTTGTGCGCAAATTGGGCTGCTGCTTCATTATACAAATGCCTGCATGCTATTCAAATTCGTACCATTATTACAGGTATTTTGCATGTGGATTGTTGCGTGATTTTGCTAATTGGAAACATTAATTCTAGATCCGAAAACGGCGATAGATTTTCCTTCAATTTGCGTTTCCCAAATTACATGTAAAATGTCACTTGTCTGTGATTAATGAGAGAATTTAAAACACGAAATAAACGAATTCAAATATATAAAGTTTTTTTACATAAAAAACTAATTAATGATTAATCTAAAAAAAGTAAGTGAAATCAAATTGTTATCTGAAGAATAGAGAAGTATTAAAAAAAACAAAAGGGTTATGGCAAATAATATAAATAACATATGCTTAAGCTATACAAAATATAAAAAAAAAATGTTTATTAAATATCACATTATATAATACAATGTGAAATGATTAGTTCCTCGATTAGTCCTATTTCATCGACACTGATTACTCGGACTAAGCGAGTACATTACTTTCAGTTCATATGTTACGTTTATATTGTTATAGTAATTAATTAATACTAATAAATATATTAACTTTTTGTTATTGTAGTATTTATATATGTAATTATATTTTGTAATTGATTTTCCCTAAATATTTGAATGTATTAATTTCTAATTTCTATTCAATACACTTAAAGTATATTTAATATAACACCTCACTCAATAAGTTTGTAGGATGACATATATATTGCGTTTTTATCGATAAATCTATATGATTTTTAGGAAGTACCAACCTTCAGACGACGCCTGTCAAAATTTCATGGCAATCTGAAATTTAGTTCATTACAGTGGTTTTGTAATTTTTTAAAGAATGGAAAAATATGATTTTCTTTTGTTGATAAAACATTGTTTTATGATGGGAAAAATAACATTCAAGCAAAGCAATGGCTTGATAATATAATGACTCTTCTCCGAGACAAATAGTAGAGAACTGGTTTGCTGATTTTAAACGTGGTCATACAGACACAAATGATACTGAACGCTCAGGTCGCCCAAATTCGGAATTGTTGCAGAAAACATAAAAAAAGTCCACAAAATGGTTTAGCCGATCGTAAATTGAAGTTACGTGAGATAGCTGACACCCTGAAGATATCAGAAAGCAGTGTATTCACCATTTTGCATGAACATTTGATCATGAAAAAGCTAAAAAGTTCGAATTGGGTATTGCGTTTGCTCACAGTAAACCAAAAACAACAACGAGTTGACAATTCCGAGCACTGTTAGCAGCTGTATTGATGAACAATATTGCCCAAAAGTTGTTGATTTATTAGTCATCCTATGAACTTATTGAGTGACGTGTTAAATACAAAAAAAAATAATTAAAACACATTCATTTATTTAAATATAGTAATTTTATAAATTAATTAATAAATATATAAAATCAATTATAAGCAGTTAAAGCGGTTGCAAAATTTGTTATATAATAAACCTTGAGTATATATAGATTAACGAAAGACGATTAATTATAACTTACCAAGTAAACCATCAATAACCATATAATTACAGTTTCCATTCAGGAAAACGTATAATATTGAAGGAAGAAAAGATATTGATCATGAGAACCACGATCTTCGAAACACACAAACTTGTTTATTGAGCTGAGAATTACTTAAAAATGAACTCAAAAAAACATACTAATATAGAAAACATAATAATATTCCCTTATCTATCTATTTTAAGGTACCTACAATAGGCACTCAATACTTTCGGACGATAATATTATATGCATTATATGTTTTGCTATAAATAACCTAGTATAATACTGTTGTTGCATGTAAAATTTATTTTAAATATTATAGCAAAACAATCCAATGTATTTTTTTTAAAAGCTGTAAATACACATGTTTAGTGTAACTGTTTTATTTAGTTAGTTTGATTTTCGAATCATAATCAGCATAATTTATTATATTACATTCAGCATTAAACAAACATTTAATTGATGAACTTTAAACTATAATTCAGAACTTACCATGTACGTGCATATCATTGTTTTTCTCGCCATTGTCGCCCAGATCAACCAAACTCCTAATGGAAAACACGGACTTCGCCACCCTCTTGCAATTTTCCTCCTTCGGTCTCGTGCTCAGGTCCATTTCCAAGCACTCGCTTTCCATTTGCACAAAACTACCTCGAGACTAATGTTTGTTGATACATGAAAAAGAAGAGCGAAATAATAAAATCAGACTACAAAACAAATATGTATGCAACAGCAGTATTTCGTTCAGTATTAAAACAAGAATACGCGTTGCTTCTTTTACCTGCTCGTAATAAAACATTTAATGTGAGCAATGAAATCCGTGTTTGCTATCATAATTTTAAGATTATATTGCAACAAAATGACGGTAATGGCTTTATTAAATTACCTTCCCTCACTTGGAATGCCCACAATTCAGACGTTAAACTGATCGAATAAAATTATTGAGTTAATGATTGGCGCCATACGTTTAACCGACGACACAAATCATCGAAATAATTTATAACGTAGTGCATGACAAAATTAGAAAATTTTATAATTATAACAGTTTACAGAATCGTAAAAACATGATGATTCTGTTTTTATTTCATAAATTAAGAGACTTGAAATTAATTATTATATTAAATAATTGTTCATAGTTAATAACATATCATTTTCTCATCTTATTTAAATTATCTAATAATTGTAATAAATAAACAGAAACAAGTTTTTAATTATTACTAGAAATGAATTTATAAATTACAATTTTTAAAAATTTATTGTGTATTAAGTAATTATAAAATGTTTACATATTACAATTAAGAAGAATGAGACGTATTATATAATATTCTTAAACTGTTTGTTTATTATGTTTACAAAAATAGTTTCAAATCTAAAATTGAGAAGTATGTGATAATGCTCAAAGCGCATTGCCAGCATTATATTTACGGAGTGAAGAATGCACTGCAAATAAAGCGAAGATCAGATAAAAGAAAATAATGTTATAGAAGTATGTTTACTATATTTTTCGAATGTTCCGCTAATTACAGTGGAAAATTTTAGTTTGAATAACTTGAATTGCAGAGTCCGAACAGAATTGCATTTTCTGAATCATACATAAGCAAGAATCCAAATGTTTCTTTGCAACATAGAAGATAGTATTTTTGAATAGCCAGATAATGCAAGCATTTAATCTAATCGCCATTCAATTAAAACAATAGTTAAAATAAAATTTGCATGAATTGAAAAACAAATACGTCGATCTGCGTGGATTTATTATAGTACTGTTTAAATTTTCAACAAAAAACTAAATTTTCAATATATAAATCAATTTTACAAAAGGGTTTACAACCTCTTTTGTCCTAAAACTCACTTGAACCTATAGTTGAACTTCCACAGCACATTACGTGCGTAAATCAAACTTAAACTTTCAACTGATTAATGAAAATTTACTAAGAAAAGTATTGCTAAAAAGCTAAAGTTACAAAAAACAATAAATTTTCTGCAGATAATACCTACCTAAATGACAATCATTTAATAGGTAAATATTGGGTTGTCTGGAAAATTCTTACCGATTTTTCAAAACTTTTATACATCTTTTTACATCTACATCTTTCATCCAACTTAAACATCATATCCTCTCAGAATTTATTAAGTTTTCGTCAAAAAACTTCTTCAGGTGGTTTTTTTATGTCGACTAAAAAATAATCTTGTAGTTGTAGTTAATGGAATTTTGCAAATATCTAAATTTGTGGTAATCGTTCCTGAAGTTCATTTAGCTAAAGCAACTTCTCTGTTAGCAGAATATATCTTAGTTATAGCTCTAGTGCCATTTTTTGACTTTACAGTAATAGAAAAGTATCAAAGTCTAAAATGCACTTTATTTATTTCATCTTCATGAAGGTACTAAACGTCTCAGTTTCATTTGATCCATTTTTTTTTTTCTAAAGACGGTTGAAATCTCACTTTTTAGAATATATATACCCAGGTACAATTTTGATATATGGTACTTACTGCACAAACTTTCCGGACAACCCAATATATAAGCTTTTACAAATTTATTTATCTATAGATGAGAAACATGGTCAATAGTTTTCTATGTAACAATGCTCTGTAAATTTAAAAACTGATCTTGTGGAATTTTTCATATCATTAAAATTGTTATTGTATTAAATATGATTTCTATCAAATATATTTGTCTCATTAATAAACGTGAAAACCTATTTCATTATGATACATATTATGTTTGAAAGCAAAAAAAAAATAAATAAAAATTTTAACATAAAAAAATTTACTTAACAATAAAATATAAACATAATTATATTTCCGGATTATAATTTGCATTTGAGTGATTTTTGTATAAAAAAAATCAAAATATTTTTTTTTACATTGAAAGAAAATCTTAGATTATCTAGAGTTTCAAAAGCAACTGGTAATACTCATTATATTGGTTTATATCATTACAAACGTTAACAATTATGTTAAGATAAGAGGAAAATTTCTATAAAATTCCTTATATAAATGAGGAAAAGCAAGTATGTTCAGAAGAAGCGTACAACAAGATTAAAACTCACTGTAACTACAATAAATGCAATACACTAAAATTAGTTCTATTTAGTTATATTGTGATAATAAAATGAATTTAATATTTTTTATATTTAATTTTAGTTTTATTTGTTTTTTTTTTTGCAAATGTATACCATATTTTCGGACAGTGGGAGTATTTCATAGTGTCAACACTTAATTGCGTATATCGTAGGTGTATGTATAAACCTGTATTTTTATTTGCTGTAAACTAGAAAAACAATATATTTTTTCAAACAGCAGAACTTTTCTAAAATTCCGAGGTACATATGAATAATATAGTCTTACCTAAAATAATTGATAATACACTAGAAAAATATTAATCAGTAAAAACCACTAAAAAGGAATTATTTTCAAATTCAGTAAACTCTATTAGTTAGAACACAAACACAGCAGGGAAATCTTTCTCCTGGGACCAAATATTTAATGTACACTCCTTTGCCCATAAAAAAAACAATATTGCGAATAAGGTTTTCTCAGACTTCTAACATAAAATTTAGAATATTAAGAGCATATTTGAAAAGTATTGATTATCTATTATCGGCACCATTCACTATTGATGCCGCACTTCCCTTTTTGCCGCGCTGAGTTAGTAGTATATAAAACTATACCAATTATTAATCTTATTGATAGGGTTGATATGTCCCTAAAGGAATGGATTTACCATTTAAATTTAAAAAAAATATTAGAATTGTAGTGTTATGAAATTAAGAAAAATTACCTTCTGCATCTTTCCAACAACTTAATGATAATTTATAAGACGTTGAATAGGAAAATAAAATTTAAAAATTGTTTAAACAAAGTGTTACAATAATATAAAATATTTTTTCACTACTCAAATAAAATACGTGATATAAAATTGAAGACAATAATAGCAACTGAAATATGCAACTATGTCCACCTAAGTTATTAGACGACTAATATTTTACTGAAAGTCCTTGGGAAGTTATTCAAGCGAATTAGTATCCCTTCCAACGTAATCTCTTTAATATTTGATTATATTGACTAAATATATTATCATGTTGTTTGTGGTATGTTTAACTGCAAAATAACAACGGAATAATTTACCCACATATATGCGTTACGTGAAGCAATTTACTGAATATTTCATACATTTCAAATGCATATTTTATTAAACGCAATTATAAAATCAACGGTAATTAAACGAAAATGATAAAATATATTACAATATTTTTTTGCGAAACAGTCTAAAACTATTAATTTCTGCGATAAACATCTGCCTGAAATAATTGGAAACGATGAAAGGAAATGGGAATTCTGTAAGAGCTGATTTACGACACGACCTAATGGGAATTGTATTTAATAGTGCTAAAAAAATATTAGTAAAAGGCACGTAGTGTGGGTGGAAAATGCTAGAATTAATCTCAACCATCCATCATCTATGAGTTCACGCAGACTTCATCAGCCTTTTACCTATTTCATTTTCCCGTTTCTGTATATTCGTATCAGCTAATATTCAATTACACGATGAATATCCTAATGAATATGGTTTAAAACATATATTTATGCTCATTTTAATCATTAATCATAAATCCAGCTAATAACATTATTAAGATATTATCAAAATAAAAAGTAGGAAAATGTATGTAGGAACATAAATGCAATAAATTGTGTTTAATATTTTTATTAAAATATATTCATTACTATTGCATCAAAAGAAAGTTCATATTACATCAAGTTTATGATTTATGCAACGTGATGTTTGTGGGTGTAAACTACAATTCTAAAATAATGAGAAAACTGAAATGTCAAAATGAAATGAAAAATATAATACATTTAATCTGCTCGGAATAAACTTAAATAACATCAATATGTTGCAATATCATGTAAAAATATATGTGTGAGAATTTGTTTCATCATATTGGTTCGTTTCTGTTATTTTAAAACATTTTATAATAATAATAATATTTGTTTCAAAAATGAATTACAAAATTAAAAAAAAAAACTCAATACAATAATAAAATATTTTGTTAGTCTTCGCTTAAAAAAGATCATTTTCACTAAAAATAATAAAACGTTTTCAATGTCATTTATGTACGTTTTTAAATCTTTAGTTGCTAATATTTTTCGGCAAGAACTTCTTTAATATTGCGCTCATTTTCTTTGTCATTGTAAGAATAAAGTTTTCTCAAACTTCTAACATAACATTTAGAATATTAAGCATATTTGAAACTTATTGATTAAACCAGCTGGATAACCTAATTTTTAATTTATTCCATGTTATTTTATTTCCAAATTTTGCCTCAAAATTCCATTTAAGTATTTGTTAGTGATCTGTTACCAAAAACTATTTATATATTCGGACAATTGCGAACTTCGTTTTATATTTAAGCTTCAGTACGACAGGTAACGTTAATAGAGACAGAGGTATAATTGTATATAAATATAATATGGCAGTTTTATGTAATAATATATTAAGAATATAGTTAATTTATTTATTAAATATGTAATTACAAGAAAGATTACAAGAAAAAAAATCATTAACAAGTGTCATACTTTCTCTTCATAAAAGAGCACAAAGTAAAATATGCAAAGAAACCACGAATCTTATTTGTACACGAAAAGAAAAACATTCAT